CTGTCCAAAAATAGGAAACTCTTGCTGTGTTTTGGCTACATAATTATTAGTTTACATATATAAAACAAAGCTTACGTGTAGCATACGCTAAGACTACATGCACAGACAAGCAAAAATATCGAGTGGAAACGTTATTTCTCAATGTACAAACAGGTACAAAATGACAAGCTTTCTTGTTAGAGGTGGATTGTCTGATTAAAATAAATCGGTTTAAGTCACGATTGAAATCAAGTGAAAAAATCAGGTTCAACATTTTAAGAATTCTCTACTTTTTGGACAACTGACGGCGCTTATGTCAATAGGGAAAGGCAATGCTCATTATCGTTTTTGTTCAAATTTTAAATCCAAAATTTGCTCTTAAACAGTTTCTGGAAAAGGGTCACGCGTTGACAAGATAAGGAAAGTTAGGTCAGCAAAATATTTTTAAAAATGCCAGCAGTTGTTTTGTGTGCAGTCATGTTTTTCTACCCTATAATATCAATTTTGCAATTGAATACGGAACTTTTTATTAGCATAACAACCAACAACAAACTAAAAACTAGAATTGTTAATTGAGTCAAAACGTACATTTTCAAAGGTTGTTAAAACGCAACGTACAGACTCTTTAATTCTAGACAATAATACTCATTTAAAATACATCAGTTTCGGATCTTCCTGATCCCTTTTCTTTTGTTTTATTTTGAGTACGTGTGCATTAGAGCTCAAACTTGATGTAAACAATAGGAAAGTACCAGAATGTTTGCCGTCACCAACTGTCTCAAAAGTCATTAATTATTAAAGGAAATTTTATATTTCAAAAGAGTTGTCAAACAGTTACGTACTATCTCTGAAGCAAGCTTTTGCTTAGTTTTCTTGTTATCGGGGAATTAATCGTTGACGTAGTACGTGTAATCAGTACTTGAGTACCATTTTTGGAGTACTCATACTTGCACTCGAATTCCTCCATGGTCAAAGTACTCGTACTCGAACTGACCGTACTCAAACTGGACACATCGAAAATGTGCTCTTATCATAAAATTACTCGTACTCGAAAAAACTCATATACCTCGACTTACCATAGTCTCAGTACTCCGCATTCTTTTGTCTATACTTTCAAATAGTCAACTTCCTCTGCGCGCGCATGGTCTGGACAAACACAAGCCGTAGGGCATTGTCAAATACACACTATACGCTACGCATATATTTAAAAGCTTGGCCACTGAAGGTGTTATAGTTAGACCCTGCAGTCATGCACTGGTGTTTAACTTTCATCAAACCGTCCACAGAATGTGTATTTACATAAGCAGTTCATATAAACAATTGCTTGTTTTATGTTCTCATGAAAGTGGGCAAGTACATTTAAGATGTCAAGTGACACTTGCATCGACTTAACGGTGGTACTGTTTTAAATTAACCTATAACTTACCTCTGCCAAAACTCGTATATTGTATTTGCCTTAAATCTGTTTGGTGTGCATTCTTTAGACAGAATCGAAATAGGACCTCCAAGCTAATGTCACGCGATAATGGCGTTGCCTTTACATAACCCAAACGTCATCTAAAACAATTCGTCCGCTAAAAACACGCCACTTTAACCTGAAGTGAAAAATGCAGTGATGGAATAACAACAAATATTGAAAACTCAGCGATAAATCGAATGATGACGTTATGTTCACGTCATTTAATTTGTTAGCCTTCTCTGGACTTCTGGTACGTAGGCTAGTAATGGACGAATGTTGTATCATGTGTGAATTTAGTAAATCACATTTTCACCTGTCAGTCGTGTCTAAACACCTAAAGCGTTTTCAGTTTTAATTTGACACCACCCTGAAAGCTGCTAACAATTAGTAACTATGTCTGATAATCAAATCACCCTATTTACGTAACGCAACTTCCACTCTATCTTTGTATGGATGCAGTGGCACGACTTCTCAATAGTGCTTCCATCGTGATCAATAACAGAAGCCATTTTATTGCTGTGATTTGAGGGAATTCCAAAATCATACCACTAGTTTCCTGTGTGACTCATGCGTACCAAAACCGCCCAAGTTGATGATCTTCTCTTCGCACAACGTGTGACATTACGATTTATTTATTTGTCAAATACAAAAAAGAGCCTGGAACATTCACACTAATTGTTAAATGTAGTGTTTTTACGAATTCAGTTTTAAATTTGAAAGTTTGGATGTTATCAAAGCTCCGATTTAAAAATATTTTTACTGATAATTCGTATTAAATGTTACAGCATCCATTATATAGGACATCATACAGAAGAGTTGTTTCTATACTCCGCTACACAAAAGCACGAATTTTCATTAAAACCAAAATCTTTATGAATTCAAAAATGGTTGACAAACACTTAAAGGTTACAGGTGGATATTTCATTCCCAACCTACAATTTAAAACGAAACATCGACACAACCTCGATTTTTATCCAAATTAAGCACTTTTGATCAATAATATACTATGCTACTAAAAACTTTTTTTATACTAAAATTGGAACTTATTTTTGGAAAACTGACTCCTCTAAAAATGGAACACTGGAGTCGATAAAGGATCGATTTAGAGACCATTTCAGACATTTACTCAAAACAAACACCTATTGCGATTCAAGATTACATACACTTCATTGATTTCTTTTTGTTGGCTGACCGCGAACCGCAACGATCGAGTCGACCAACACACTATTTTTCATTATCATCTACTCGAATGACATTTGAAGAGCAATGGCTGACCTTAAAAGAAGAACACAAAAAAATTAATAAATACGCGCCAAGTTGCCACAAATACCAGCGGCTGTGTATAATTATACCAATGATAATGTTAATAAATTCAACACATGGAAGCGGTTGAAGCAGATACTATTTCACTTGTCACTGTTATCACTTCCATCGCCGTCCCGCTCCCAAATCTGTGCCAAATTTAACTCATTGTTGTCGCTGTCGATGGACGCCGTTATAAATAGAGTATTCTATGAAAGAGTTCTCCGTCGTTACAAAATGAGTGGAGGCGATGAGCTCACAACATGGCAACGCGTAAGACTGTCTCGAGGACTCAGATTTTTCTAAGCGTCCGTGGGACAAAGCGCATTATGATAAAAGAGTGTCCTTTGGATACTTCATTTATTTGCACTGCTCCCGCCCAGTTCTACAGAAAAAGTTGACCAACTGCACCTGGCATAATATGGTCATGACGTCACGTCATTTGAATAGTCTTTTAGTTAAAATTGCCAGACAAAAGAAAACGTGCGACAAACAAGATCGCCTAATGACGCCACAAGCAGAAAAATAATCTACAACTATGACTCGAACGTCAAAAGAGATTCAACTTTCGATGACGGGAGCAAAATCACTAACTCCCAAGTAAAATAGGTGTAGTGCTGAGTTTTGACTCCGTACTGAACTGAATAACTGTTTTGCCCGTGTTTGTTTCCACAATGAACAGTAGGATTACGCATGCACAGGTCCATGTTTACATGAAGATGAGACCGGATTTCTTCCCCCGTGTATCTCTAGGAAGTGCGGGCTAGTATGAAGTCGCTTCCGTATCTCTAGCGTGTCGAGAAAACGACAAAACAAAGTTAACATGAAATTCCCACAAGACAAACCCAAGACCAGTGTAGGATGGTCAGTGGTGGTCCACTAAGTTATACACTTGTGCTCAGAATACAACCGTAAAATTAATGAAAATAAATGTTCCACAGGGAGTCCCAGCCATACTTCGTGATCCATTCCTTTCTACTGCTTTTATGCCTTGCAGCAACCTGATTCCTGTAGGCCCTAAATATTAAAAAAAGAAAAGAAAAAGACCACCATTTTGTATGGGCATCCAGTACTAGTGTGTGCAGGAACTTCACCTTATTAGCTAGCAAGCCTATTTTCCATTTGCTCCGTTAGGGTAGAAGAGACAAAAGATTGTGATTTCTTCTCTTTTTACACTGATGGCCAGCCATAAATTAGTTACATTTAACTGTCTGGCAAAACTATATACCGCTGTGACGTTGGAAAGGCCAGGACTATGGAAAATCACTTTTGAGTTTGCATGCAACGCAGAGTGTAAATAAAAGCCAAATATGTGGCGAGGGGCTCGTTTTCTGAATGTATTATGTTCCGAATATGGCTTGCCCGAAAACCAAATTTACAGTGTTTTGTTTCGTGACAAAATAACGATTAAAAAGGATCCTCTTTGTAAGACAGTATAGGAAATTCTAGCACTCCCAAAAAGGCTGCACAAAGGACGTCGAACTACAGCTGAAGAAGCATGCCTTCGATTACAGGCAAATTTTTATTTTTGTTTGCTCAATGTGGACTGACATAAGCCTATACCATCTTAAAAAGTCTCCCTGAGCAAGACATACAAGAATACAAGGGACTAAACAAAGACTAACCCGTTGTGAATCTCACTTTGTGCGCGTGAACGTATGGAAACAAGAAAATTATTTACCGTTCAGTTTAAAACTGGGTCACGTGGGCCCTCCTAGTGACCTAGTTATCAGCTGCGATATGTGCTGATATCCGGGGACCATGAATTATCTCTATATAATCGCCTTCGTGCTGGTTGAAAGAGCGATTTAATCACTGTTCTCATTAGGTAAATCTCAATTGCTTAAACTAACACATACCCAGTTTCAACGATGTGAAAGATTTTCGAGTAGTTTCTGTCAAAAATTGTTTGACATTGATTCTTCTCTCATTACACTTAATACTGATAAAATTGACAAGCCGCAAAATGCACTCCAAAGAAGAAGGGGCGGATCCAGGACCAAATTTTGGGGAAGGCGAATTTGTTTGCTTTTTACACGCTTTTGGAAGATCTAGAAAGGGAGGTGAAACTGACTAAAATTCACTTTTAAAAAAATGGCCCCCATCGCTCCCCGAATCTACATTTGCTAAAGACTAAGTGGATCTAAACAGGTTTAGTACTGAAGAACTGCTCCTCGACAACGAAGTTAAACCCAACCAGAATGTGTACATCCCATAGTGGTGCGTGCACGGAGCTTGACATCTACGAGAGGAACGGGTGTCTTGCGAAAATACTGAAACAAAGAAAGCGACACGAAACACGGTGCAACGCAAGTCACCCCCGTGACACTAAAGCAAATTTTAAATCATTGACTCCAAAAGTTCTCTCCCGACATAAGGTAAAAAAGATCGATTGCAACCAAGCTGAAAAGAGCAAAAATCTGAACTTACGGATCGAAGGTTAGCGTGTAAGATTGGTAGGCAATCTCCATTTCTTGGATTGAGGGAAAAGAAAATGTGACTAGGGTCAAGAAGAAACAAACAAAATCTGATACCATAAAAACATGGGTCCAGTTACTTTTCAGATGAAAGAACAACAAAAGCTGTTTGGGTAAACCAAATATCGCATTTATGCGACCCACATTCATTTTGATTAAGATCCAGGCACCAATTCGACACTGCCAACAAAAACTGTAGAAAAAATCAGGACACTACCATACGCCCGTCCCTCAGTAGTTTATTAAAATTGATGAAAGAGATTACTCGCGCAGTGCATAAGCCACTGAAATACAAAAACACAACTCCCGTCACGAGACCGCTACGTGACGTAGAAAAGTAACTGAAACCATGCCCAGTAAACACGCCGTTTCGTAAGGTACGACGCCTGGCACACAGCAACACGAGGTCAGTTGACGGCGAGGATTCCCAATGAATGAAATGCTGACGAAAGTATCTGGGTTGACATGTGGTGAGCAGCTACTCTGCAATGATGTGGGAATGATATAAAAGAAGCAGGAATTGGTTATCGCAGTGTCATTTGATCAACTTTGCCACAGCGGGAGCAAGCGTGAAGCTGTTAGAGCCGTTGGGTTTTCTAGAGCGACACATTAGCACTCGATCGCTGTGTACTAGCTCTGTAGTCCCACGGTGAAACAAGTCGGTCGTGTGCCTGTCCTTTTCATAATTCAGTTGTTCAACAACTTCGTTGATCCAAACACCATGTTCCCGCAAGAGTGCAAATCAAGTCACCATGCCTTGGTGCGTGCAATCTCGGCTGGCCGTCCTCGGCAAGTCGGGATGATGTTGGAGGCAGGAGCGAACCCCGATGAGAGAGACGAGTGCGGCAAGACACCACTCATCCATGCCGTCTTTGTGGATGACCCAAAGAGCCGCCATAAAATCGTCAAGACGCTGTTGAACAAAGGTGCCGCCGTCTCCACCGCCGATGCTACCGGGCGGAATGCCCTTTCGTGGGCGTGTATGCAAGGCAAGGACAGGGAGGTGGATTTGTTACTGCAGTACAGTGATCCCAACTTGGACTTGAATCACAACGACGTCAGCGGACGCACGGCCTTATTTCATGCAGCCACGTCTGGCAGCGCTGCGTCAGTCAAGTTGATGGTAGATTCTCTGATTGAGCGTGGTATGAGCGTCGACGTGGCTGACTTTAACGGGGTTACTCCGCTCATGCAGACCCTCAGTCTGGGCTTCGATGTTTGCGCTACCATCCTCGTCAAGCAAGGCAAGGCATCTACCACCGTAGCAGACTCCAACTTCCTGAGTGCGTTCGACTGGGCCAAGCCGAGCCATGGGTCTCCTGTTCCACACACCCATCTGCCGGCGATTACCGAATCGCCAGGGAACGTCACGGAGTGGCGTCGCGGCAGCGGGCTGTGCAGGATGTGCACGTCTATCACCGAGACGGAGTTCGACTCCTGTTATGGCTCTGAGTCGTCCTATTGCGAGGATGGACTTCTCGACCTGGACACCAGACGGCGGTCGCAGTCTTTCAGCGACGACGACATCTTTGATCTGGCCTCTCTTTCCCTGGCCGACTTTTCGCCGAAGAGGAGACGGTCATCTCAAGATTCTGGCTCAGAAAGCATGCATGACGGATTGCCACCAATAAACAGAAGACCAGGCTCTGCAGGTAAGAAAAAATTCTAGTCCAAATAATTCTCGTGTTAATTCTGAGAGGTATCCTAAACAGTGTATCATCAAATAAAAAACACTGCACCAAACCAAACCAACCCAAACCAATCAAAACCAAACCAAACACAAAAGACCAAACAAATTCAAACAAAAAGTAAATCATGCAGAGTAAGATTGTGATTATTGCTGACAATTAAATGTATGCAATGCTGATTCCTTTGCTCCCAACAGTACGACGACCAAAGCCACACATCCGGAGAAACACGGTGTCGGGACGCCTCGGCAATATTCGGGAGAGTGCGGATCACGACGACGTGTTTTTCGACGACGATGATTGCCATTCGGCTCTCTCTGACCAGACAGAGATGAGGAGACAACACGGATTCCCCATGATTTCAGAAGGAAGGTTCTCATTGGCTTCCCGGGCTGACGGCAGCACCAAACCGTTGACTGCGCTACGTGCACAGATCGACAAACTCCTCTAAACCCCATTAGAACTCAAATTCAAGCACTTTGGTGAGACCACTTGATTTTTTTTTATGAGCTTAGTGCTAATTCTGAATCTTTCGAATAATTTCAGCAATAATAATAATAATAATCGGTGTCTCAAAAATAAACCCCAGATATTTTCTTCGGGTTTCTGTATTTATTGAAAAATGAATAAAAACTCGAGGTCTCGAACCAACTCATGCACACATTAAAGCAAATTACCTGTCTCTTTTGAATATCAAACTATAGTTTCTCAGTCGGTTTTTGTCAGGGCAACATAGACGATAGGAAATTGACATTTTTTCCCTCGATATTAGTCTGATGATGACACTGACTTCCGGCGTCATTCTTAAAACAGAACTTCAAGAACGGTTCAACTATGAAAACGAAATAATATAAGATATCCGGTTATTGCGAGCGCGCAGATACATGTACATGTATAGGAACACTGCCTTTTGCACTCTTCGTGAACTTGAATTTGCAAACTACCGGTACGTGCCTTTTCGTTTAATAGTAAAAATGTACACCTTGCTGCAATTTGTGTCTGTTTAAAGTAGTTCGATACTGTGTGTGACCTTAGTTTTGTTTACGATAATAACAAAAATTAGCAGGTAAAATTGTTTTTCTTCTGGACCAAAGTCAAACCTTTCGTTGAAACTAATTCCACATTACCGTCAAAGTATTTCTTAAGGGTAATGTTAAGCTGGTAAATGAAACAAAATGAAACTTTGCTCTTTTATTTCAGTTTATTTCAATTTCTCCATCGTAAAGTTCAATGTCTGGAAAGACAACTAGGCAAGCACTATGGGACACAATAATGAAGTGCTTATGACCAACAAATGTAGTTTGTTGTAACTGTACAAGTCACGATTTTTTAAGTAGACAATTACTTTTAAGTGTACAAATCGTCTTTCAAATTTTGAATTTGTAAAATGGCACATTTGAAGTTTAGCGGTCTAACACACAGAAACAAAGCTTACAGTATTTCATAAAATCGGTCGTTTTGACATAATATGGCAATCTTAAACTGGATGTAACTTATAAATTAGAATAAAATGTACATGGTATCTTTAATGATGTATATATGTATAAAACCTTGATTTTTCAAATAAGGATTTTTATACATAACTTGAAAATACATGTATATATACAATCATACCATTGTACGAGAAAAGAGGAATGTAAATGTTAATGTGTATTAAGTTGTTCTCACTGTGCAATAAAAACCAGTTGTGATAATAAATCTAGTAGACTGGAGATGGTGCTTTGTTTTACCAGCTGCTTTATTGATGTCGCTGTTTCACAGTGGTCTACGGGCAATTCGTCCGGTTTTCGTTGGATAACTAATAAATGAATACATGTAGTCCAAGGAAAAACAACTTTCTAAAAATATATCTGATGAAGTAGTTGTTGCTACGAAAGCTTAAGCAGTATCTTGTGTGAAGTTAGTCTATAAAGTGCTACCCCATATTTTCCACTGATCCTAAAAATGAGGGGGGAAAATGAAACAAATGGCTTGGAACAAATCAGTCCTGAAACTCAGTTGAAATTCTTCACTCCTTGGCAACAAGTAATTAAACAGTACACATTAGGAGAGTTTGGAATTGTGACTGTCTCACAGAAATGTAAATAACAGTACATGTATATTTATTTTAAAAAAATAACTCACAAAGTCTTCACTGCATCAAAATTGTTGGTATTCATCATCACCAACGTAAACCGCTTTGGAAAGTAAAGTACCCTGCAACTTCTGCTTGACCCCAATCGTGTGCTAAATGGAGGAAGAGGGTCGGGTGATGGTAGGAGAAAGTGGCAGTGCAGTGTTAGTCCCCATGTCAGTATGTTTTTTCTTCAAACATTTCTCTAGAGGACGAAACATCTCCTAGATTCAAGTTAAGAGTGTTGGCAGTGCTTGTTTTTATAGTAGGATGGCTCACAATGAATGGGGCTTTACGAAAAAGGAGATTTACATCTGGATTGAGCAGCAGCTGGATTCAATTCGATGTGCAATAAGGGGGTTCAGATTCCGAATTTGATTGGTGCTGGAGTCTAAATCTCCCAGTTCTTGTACCTACATGCAATAACTTGATACCGATTCGGTAGCTGTACAAACTGTCCAATTTCTCAATGCTGTCCAGGGCTTGCACGTGTGCAACATGTGGGTGCTAAAGAGCTGTCAAAAACTAATCTGCAGGCAATCTGGTGTGGGATTACTTGTTGGAAGTCGTACAGAGTTTTTTGTTTTTCATCAGCAATGGCTGATGCAACGGCACAATGCGTTTTCCCGGAAAAGCATCTGTTCCACACACTTTTACAAATAAAAATATGAGCAGCAGTGATATCTGAGTCATTTGAAATGTGATTTCTATGGCATTTTAACCAAAACTATCAAGGCAGTGGACAATGCTGCACCAGTTGGATAATTATCATTGCGAACATGTAAGCACTGTTAGGCGGCAATCTAATTTTGTGAATAGTCTTGCACGCTATGAGAGACAGAAAGAGGAAATGTACAGGTGGAGAAAATGGGGAAAAGCAAAACTTGTTGCACAGACGTTTACTTCTTTAAAGTTTGTGGCAAACTAAGAGGTTGCTCTGAATGAGTGGCGATGCAAACTTGTGAGCCCTTTTTAAATCTGGGCGCACAACCAAATTGATGAATTTGGTACAACACCTAGAATGGGGCGGAAAGATCCCTCTTGCAGCGATTTCACGGCACCATGGAACTCTACTACATCCAAAGTAAAACTTAAATTTCTTTTATTCGCAAATGACGCTCATCCATCAAACTGGAATTATACACTGCAACAGTAAAATCTGATTATCCTGCTCATTTTCTTCAATTTAAGACCAAGAAATTGCTCGATGGGTTAACTGGTCTTAATTTTTTTTCAATAGACCAACAACTTACTGACTTCACTCTTTGTCGACAGACGTATGTACTTTCTATGATAGCGAGGTGTGATAAGATCCACTTAGCACATATGGGAAAGCATGCATGTAAACAAAGCATGACATCATTGTGCTTCAGGTCTATTCCTTGACATTTACATCACCAGAAAATGTTTCTGGTGGTGCACAGATGGCCAAGACAGGTTCTTCCTACTGCTTGTAGGAGCAAACAGCAAAAACAAAAATTAAACACATTAGACACAAAATGAAAAAACTAAAATGCAATCATAAACACCCAAGAGACCAGTATACATGTTGCAAATAAAGGTTCATCCAATGGGCTACATTACTTCAAGTTAAAAATGGTGCCCTCTTGCGTTTAATGCCACATATATTTACAAGAGGCCTGTGATCTGTGGATCACAACATTGCTGGTTTGTCCTGGGTCCAAGTTTTCAGGAGATGACATCAGAAGAGTGCAGATCCATTCATTCATTTACACAAATTATATTCTTCCATTCGGAATCCACATGGTTGTAGTAGCTGAATATTAAGAGCATACTACACCAAAGCATCAGATTAAATGTAGAGCTTCATCTGTTGTCTTGCTCAAAACAAACGTCACTGTTCCTAGATGATGACAACTGAAGCCTGTGGTTTCTTCATAAAACGGGAATCTTGTCCAGCCTGAGGTCCATGTCGTTGCAGAAGTCATCCGTCAGGGGCACGCAGTTGAAGAACTGACACCAGGAGCAGTCCTTCAAGAGGCGGAGGTAGAAGACGGTGAAAACCAGGCAGTAATAGGCCAGCAGGAGAAAGATACTAACCAGGATCTGGACACGCTTTCGGTTGCGGTCAAACTCCCCAAAGTAGATGTAGGGCAGGAAGATGAAGGAGAGGAAGGTACCACAGATGAAGCCCCCCAAGTGGGCATAGTTGTCGATCCAGGGCAGGAGGCCCAGGACAAAGAGGAGGGCGATGATGAAGAGGAGTTTGGCCAGGGCCTTGAAGGGCGACTTGAGGATCTGCCAGCTCTGCAGGACCTCCACTACCAGACAGGCCAGGAGACCAAACTGGGCGCCCGCAGGTCCAGTCTGCGATTGGATGGAACATTATACATGTACATGCACAAATAATGAATGTTCATGGGCGCAATGGTAAGAATAACTGAATGAGGTGACAGATTGAGACAGTTACAAACTTCACCTCGTAAAATTAATCTTTCCATTGCACAAGTGTGAAATATTCATTATTTGTTTTATACAATGCCTGAATAAATCCTATGTAAACTTTGTGGAACAGTAGCTGTTTTACTTTGTCAGTCTGATGTATACAACTAGGACCTAAACTATTCACATTCAAATTCTGTTCATGCTTTAAATAATTATTCCTAAGTTTCTTAACTTTTGCTGCAATCATTTGACACCCTATATAATTTGTTTCTTTCTGTTTAGTATAATCATTGTAAGCTCAGAAATATCCTAATCTGAGATGGGAAAGAACTGCATTTTGAAAATGTATCACCCAAAATCTTGTGTTTTTATAATTGTGTGAAGGGTCGTGACTGTGCCTCCTACATGTGCAGTACAACAGTATATTCATTGGTCTGCTTTGATTAAACTGAATAATTTAGGACACATGAATGATCCATCGATAAAAAGAAAGTGAATTTATTCAGGTACTGTACAAGAGCCTGTAAACAGACTGAGAAGATTCCACCACTGCCATGGCACTAAACGTGATAGGATGTTTGTAAATGTGATGTGTATGAGCAGTTTGCAAGTCCAAGCTCTGTTGGGTTGAACGTGTACCCCAGTGCAGTGATGGTTTCTCATTCTGGTTGTCACGTTTAGCCTGTGGCATGCATGAATCCAAGCGATGGGAGAGACTGCTCATACTTTCAGAACAAATATGGACTAACAGCACAGAGTAAAGAAATTCAGAATTTTTTTGACCTATTTCAAACTAGATTTGCTTCCAAAAGGGGCTTCTTTCGACCTATTTCAAAGGTCCAGTAAATGGTCTAAAATCAGGAACTAGCTTGTGCCTACTAGGACGCTGACTTCAATTACTAACCTAACGAGATAAGAAATGAAAAAATTAAAAAAACACACAAAAACACACACAAAGGAATGGTGCTATAACAAGGCATATATCAAATAACACGGCTGGCTCCATGATGGCTTTTGGATTTGTTTATTTTGTGTAAATAATTTATACGACTTGAAGGTTTGCATGATGAAGGACTTGTGGTAGTGCCATGTAAATACCTTTTGTGGGTGCAGCTCAGAACAGAACCAGGGGAGACAACGTTTTAGAGAGTATGCTCTGTTCATCATTAGAAGACTCTCGGGGAGACATTCTGTACAGAACTGTTTGTTTGTGGCAGCATGTGCTAGGAAGAAAGGCGTAAGTTCAAAAACTTATCCATGGGAAAAAAATCTGGCAGAAGAATATGCTTACCTCTGCTCTGTAAGGAATAAATATTGCACTGGTTATATTGCCCCCGATGCCACTGAATATGTAGATGACAGAGATGCGAAAGAAACCTGCTAGTTTCTCCAAGTCTCGCAGGATTGTCATTTGCATGATGACACTTAAAATACAGTGGAAGATTCTGAAATGGACAATGTCAAAAATCAGTTTAGCAGGTGTACTCAAAAAAATTGATAGCTTTTGCATTCTAAATGATTTAAAAACTAATTTAAAAGTCAACAGTGGTTTATAGGCGAATGCACCTCAGTGCGTATGTTTTAACTTTCACCACTTCCTGCCAGGTGGAATTTGCATAAGTGGGATGAGCTCCAGGGGGATTTTCCACTTTCAAAATTCTTCAAAAATTCATAACTTCATTAACAAGATGTACACCCCCACATGAATGACTGTCTGACTGTATGGTGGCTACTCTAATCTGACTAGCAACCTCAACTGATGCCCGAGTATTTCAGCCAGGACTGAAAAATGATGGCAAATCCCAGCAGCTTTGTCTTTTGTTCCGAGTGCGGTCTTTTGTTACATGACCCAGCTCTGCATACAAACCCCGGCTATGCATACAAACCCCGGCTATGCATACAAACCCCGGCTATGCATACAAACCCCGGCTATGCATACAAACCCAAGGTGCTTGGTTCCGGAAACCCCGGAGACAAGTGGATATAAGAACACACTTCAAATTCCATTTCATTACGGACACTCTTCAATGTCATATTTGCATTCTTGTTTTCCAGCTACGAAATGGTGTCACTTCAATTTCATGTATACCTTAATCTTAGTGGACACTTCTGGAGACTCGCACTCCAAGCTCCCGTTTCATATTTACGTCAAATTAATGAGAGCCAGTGGCCAAGTAAATTCTTTTCCAAAGACTTAAGGCTATGGAACCAATCATCGTGGCTGGATAGTCTTGGAGCACAGATTTACTGATGGTGGGGGACTGTGGGCCTGTGCCGAATATCGATCAATTATCGAATATTCAAATATTAGTTTCAAATTTGAATGTTTGAATGTAAAATTCAAGAAAAGGAAGGGAAAATTTTCTTTTGCTGTCAATGAGAAAAATTACACTATGGAGGCTTGTTTCAGATAGATTCAAATGAAAAGCGACAGAAATCTTACAATGATTCAAAAAGTAAATTATTCATTAAACAATTTAAAAGGAATAGAAATTTTCAACAGGGAAAGAAGCACTGTTCATCTCTTAAATCTTGCTGATTATAATGTACAATTGTGTGCGTTATCGCATCTGATTTTGCACATGGTTTGAGCATCAATAATCTGCTGGTCCACACGATTGAATATTCGGATATTTGATCGAATTGAAGGTCAAATATTCAAATAGTGAATTATTCGAATTGACTCAGCCCTAGGGGACTGATCTCTGGACTCACCCAGCATGAAGGAACAGTGAGAGAAAGATCCGATAGATCTGATCAGGGTATTCGGGATTGGCAAAATTCACCAGCCCGCACACAGCATCCAAGCAGTTAACCTGGACAAACAAGGTAGAAACAGGGAAATACTTAGTTCAGTAACTCTCCATCAAAATATTTTCAATGCTATGATATCAGATATATAAATTGTAACCTACACATGTAAGTACAGGTAGTTCATGTAATATCTCTATCACAAAACTTTCACAAATACATGTTTACTGTTAGCTGTCATTTTCCCTCGCAATGCAAGATAACAATCTCAGAAGCATGACACTAAGATCAAAATCTGTGAGGTGAAATAACCAGAATTTTCCCTGTTGTTCAGCAGATGTAAAAAAAAAGAGACCGTTTTGGGGGTTAACATGATTCATTTCCCCCAATTATGAATATATCCACAGCACTGTGAACACATAGACAGTTCAAGGATCAATTCATGGATCGACGGATCTTTATCTGGCCTTAAAGTAATTCTAGTCAATGACTAATTATCATTTCTCAGCAATGTCAAGCAATACGGTTCCCCTCTTTAGGTGTGCTTTAGATATTTCTTTCACCCTCTCAGTTTTCTCTTTCTGCCGAGTATTACTGGAAGACCTGTAAATGGAGCGCTCTCTTTGGTAACTACATTGTCAGAAACAGAGTAACACAATATACTTAATAGTGCTTTTGAGCCCTTAACCTGCCCTGATTTGAAACACTGCCTCATCGGCAAATTGAGTACCCGATGCACACACACAGAGACCAGCATAAATTGGTTGAATGTGGTCAGTGCACCCTGCACTAAAACCACATATAACTGTACATGCACATTGAAAGTTCCCACCAAAGTGCCACCGTTGCTATGTTACCACCGGGAGCAGACAGCATGCCCCTGGAAAATATAAATCCAGCTGATCTAAAGAAGAGTTGCATGCCTGAGTGTTTAAACCACTACCACAGGCTGATTCCAGAAGATGCCATATTTGATTTGTCAATGTGAGCAGTAATTAGCAAATTCATCTGAATTTTATTCTTTCAAATATTTTGTGTCAGTTGAGATGGCAAGAAAATGCAGACAAAAACCACAGGTGTGTGTTACTAGGTATTATGTTTGATTATAGTTTTCTTACAATAAGGACACCTACCTGTGAGCACAGTGTTGCTTCTTCGTGGTAGTACCCATTGACAAAGTCGCACTGGTCCCTACTAACGATCATGCATGTCCCATAGATACCAATGCAGCACGGCCTACCAGTCACGTCACATGTGGTGTGCTCCTTGTCTGGTATCTCCAAGCTTTCCCAACATATCTGTGATAAAAGACAGAGAATGTGACAGTCAGGTCCACACGACAAATTCCGGGCCAAAGAATGTGCAGCTTGTATCATACAACTACACAACAGTATCATTTTTAACTGACTTACAAGAAAGCCCCTGAGGTATATGTGAATGTATATTCATTAGTTGTTTTGATTTCTTAAGTTACAAAAGCTCCTTTGCTTTGCATCACTTCTTGCATAACAAATTCCACTTAAGATGTCGAGTCTGGCAAGACTTTACGGGGGTTGGAGGAGTACCTTGAAGTAGGTCAATGCTGTCCCTAGTCCTCTTTAATGTCAGAAATCTGACATTTCTTTTGGGATACTATTATTTATAAATGACTTTTTTAAAATATTAATATTTTTCCATGCTTTTATCAACAACTCATTTTGAGGCTTTTCTGTTCAGACCGTGGACCTAAAAAGTGCTTACTGAAAATAATCTGTGAGAAAACTTTGCTTCCTGGCCTACTGTCATAACCTGAAACAACTAATTATCAAAGTTAACAAAGGTAGGAGGAAAATATCTTCGATTCTGCATAATTTTCGAGCAGAGATAGCTGTAAAACTGAGGTTTTAAGCCTTGGATCATATTGCAATTTTGCTTATAGCAATGCAAATTTGCACTGGCGTAAAATTTAAAAAGACAACAAAGTGCCCTTAAAGTGGCACAACAAAACTGGAAAATCAGGTTAAACGGGACACAAAGGAGCATTTACAAGAACTGCATTAAAAACAAATGATTTTAACTGAAGCTGGAATGCCTTACCGGCCATTTACTGATGTCATCCTCCCACTCATAGGGTGGTACGGAGGCTGGTTTGACACAAGATCTGTGACATGGAAAATCAAAATAGAATGTTAAGATCAGATATAATTTTTCTCTCTCCCAGGAGGATGTACATGTGCAACAGGAATGAAGGGCACAAATGTAATAACATTCAAAATTTACCTCGGATCTTGTCCACAAACTGGCCCAGATGATCGGTCATTTTCAGGATCTGTTGTATCTGGCCACTTGATAAAATTTGAAAACCGCGTCTAAACAAGACCAAAAAAGAAATGGTAATAAAACTAATACTTGTATATCTATACAATTCATAAAGGCACACATAACTTCTTCTCTTACATTTCACGTGGACATTCCTTTTGTTTTCCTTTTGATTTGGAGTAAATACTGATCGTTCTCTCATCACGAACACTCCTCTACGCTAGATTTTTGATAGCAATTTCGTTTACTGTTCCTCTTTCTTTTGCCACAGGTAGTCCTGACCCCTACATACCTCTGAGCTATATTCCGAGGAGAAAATGTATGGATCTGCGCAAGTCCACATAAAAGTCTTTTCGGCCCTACATTATGTTGACTTATGTTCTCAAGTCCACATACAGTACCACTATGTAAACAAACTCACACACTAAGTAAGCTTACATCAATCATGTTTTTTCCAGCATGGACTACATTATCTTGCACAGGGGTGTGAGTGGCCACTTAAAATTATAGCTGAAAATAGCTAGCCAATAGCTGAAATGTAAACAGTTCCCATACTTTTGTATAGACCAGGTGTACAAAAACAACGAAAGCCAGGGTCAACATTCAAACAAAAAAAGCTGAAGTCAGTTTAAAAAAAGCTGAATTCTCACACCCCTGATTACATACAAAACACCCCAATATACAGTTTAATTAAAGATATTTTGGTTAGAAAAGTTTGTACAACTTCTTCGTGATAGGAAAATACACTTAGTGACAGTAAAACTCACTGGGCAGTCTTCCTGGAGACTCTGCACACAGCCAGATTTGTCTGTCCGTACACAACAACCTGTTGTGCTTTCTTTTTGCCTTTCGTCGTCGATGGTTTGGTGGATCTGACGGTCTCTGTGCATGCACGGTGAAAACTTGGCACCTAAATGTATTAGATCGGCCTGCGCAACAAACGGGGGGAGAAATGCACTGAAAAAATTACTGGGGGCACATGAAAAATCGTTCTTGAAGAGCCCCATAATTTGGTCTGAATGGAAACTGGGCTTACTACGACACATATTAAATGTACTCTTCACCAAAAAAAATACTAAAAAAGACTAAGGCGGTGAGTAGAAGCAGTTTTTGTGGGCGAGCTTCAGGTCCCACAAGAAGCCAAATGCAAACATGATGTGCCATGTACATGTACTTGGCAGAAGGATATTATTCAGACATTTTTTCTCCAGAGAGTGAAAGGGTTCGCACTCACAAATGGAATCTCCATTCGGTGTATACTCGTAAGCTTACCGGTCTTGGCCCAATCCAGAAGTTGTCCGGTTCCATGTATCCCACTGTCTGTACCACAAGGTTTGACTGCTGCACCTGTGGACAACAAACAGGACACAAATGAGAGCATAAAAACTACACAACAACACTCCAGTAACTTCAGCAGTAGTATCAAGGTTAAATATAACCATACAATATGCTGACTCAAAGTCCCACTTTAAATAATGTGCTCTTCATACCGAATGTTAAGGAAATATTAGCAAACTTTAAGTGAAGCACTAGACAAAAGGACAACATAACAAAATGATTTGGAAGTACATGTAAGTGCTTTTCTCTCAGTAATCTTGTCTCAAGTCAAGATCGTATAGCACCCTGTAGTGGTGTAAGATGGAGAACTTCAGCGTGAATGCGCGTAAAACGTTGTAATCGCATGGGTGCTGTTTGAGCAAGTGATATGCCTGTGCAGTGCACGTTAATGCACAGACGCAGGTGAACCAGGTGTGCGTGCCTGTTGTACTGCACAGGCGCATTGCTTGCTCAAATGGAGCCCATGGTGATTACACCTTTTAGGCAGAGTTCTCCATCTTGCGCCGCTATGTGGTGCTATACCATCTTTGTTCTCCAGACACAACTCTCCCCAGAATAATTACTTGCCCATAAATCATTTAACAAATTGAAGGGCTGTTGGGAAATTTTACTTCAAAGGATTCAAGAAAGATGGGAACGGAATAGAGCAAAGACCTACCGTATTATTGTTAACACTCATGTGATTTATTCAACAGTGAGTACATTCAAAAGAATTACTATTATGATCTTTATGACTGATAATAGAGTATGTCTAAACTTACCAGTTCAGTCCTCTGTGAATAGCTGAAGCCGATTGGTGCAAATCCATAAAACGCTATCGAAACGATGACGATGACAATTTGAACTGTTGTAACCCAGTATGTGAAATAAGGTCTGATTGAAAAAATGAATTCAAAATGAAAAAAATGTAATTCTTTAAAAAATAATTTTTCTCTCCTTCCCTATTCATTCAAAGGGGCTACTATCAGTGCCTCCCCCACCAATAAAAAGTCAAGTTTGTGAGAATGGCCCAAACTGGGGACCTGTTTGATTTCTGTTGTATGTTACATGGTCAACTTAAGACCTGAGCTTAAGCCAATGAATACCACACAGGTCAGGAAATGAACAAAAAATACATCCAAAGAATTTATGCTGTTTATTTCATGACTATCCACTAATGTGAACAGGTGGGGACTTTCACTCTTTACCTATGGTCCTCAATCTCTTCAATCTGCTTCCGGACGTTACTGTCCATCCGTCGGGACTTGTAGCTCCTGTTCAGCACCCTTCCCACTAGACCCTTTCCAATTTGCCTCCTGTCCGAGTTGTCAAATGCCCCTTGCATGATCTTCTCAGCTATCTTATTTCGCCGTATAGCCGGCATGATGGCATCCGGTGCGTCTTCCGCTAGGATGGGCGCCATGCGGAATTTGTCCTCTGTTTTTCTCTTCCGCCAGCCAATTCCTGTTGGGCTGTATGACAAAATAACCAAGATCTTCACCAGTGACTGCCTCAAAAGACTGTATTCGTGAGGTAGAACTTGTTATTTTGGGAACCTAAGTGTAAAAATAACCGCGACGAAATGAAAGTTCTTACACATAATTTAATTTAATCTAAATTTTTTTAAGCTACACTCACACTTACAAACCTGAAAGTGAGGTTCTGAGACAAAAATAGCTTGCCACCACCCCATTTAAGAGATTTTTTTTCATTGAAAGTGATGGAATCAGGGAACAAACTTCCCCTTGAATAAGGTCTATTCTGGCTGCACTGTCTAGATTCTAGATTTAATAAAAGAAAGAAAATGCTGCACCCAGTCTGCGTGTGTTACTTAATAAGCGGAGTGAGCTCTTTCATGAAGTTGGGGCAAGCCCTTGGTTGAGAAAAGTTTTGCCTCAAAATGCATATTTGTCTAATTCCTAATTATGGATGAAGGTATTTTCATTTACTAGTTGTTTGGCTCCAATATTGAACTAAACCAAAGATGTTCCAAACGGTTTATTCAGTTTGGCTCAACAATCTTCTGGCCCGATTTCATGTTTACAGCAATATTTTACAATAAGGAACTTTAAATGCAATTTTTCAATAAGGACTTTATTTTGCTGACATGACATACAGTAAACTCTTGATAACTCGAACCTCAGGGGAATGGATAAAGTTCAAGTTATCCGAACGAAAGTTCCTGAATCTTGCCCACACATACAGTACATACACATTGCACAAGTAACCTTACTTACCCCTGCGGTGGGTTTAGGAGACAGTATAAGTGGTTATTTCCTTATATCCAAGAATAAACTTCTTCTAAAAATCATTAGTTTGCTGAGATGTTTTTCTTACTTAAACATTTTTATGCTACTGATAGGTAAAACATACATCACCAAAACTGTACTTTTTTGTGGCAATTCTTCAGTTTGGCACACACTGCTGCTCGAAGCGCACAGCCATGTGCTTGCTTGCTCGGCCGTGGCCGGCAAGGCGGAGGGCTTTCCTTTGGCCACATGATCCTTCCTGAAAAATCGCTGGAGGGTCCACCATTTTGCATTTCAAAATGTTCGAGCGTAAAAAAAATTCAAAAAAAAAATCTGGGAATGCATGTCAGTCAGCATGTGAGTGGGGAGTGAGTGTTGCAATTGGGCAGGTGGCAGCAGCCAGGCTTTAGATGCTGCATGCACAAAGCCTCCTTCAGCGAGGTTACATGGCCACTGTAAAGAATCAGTGATTGGACTACGTGCGCGCAGGCTACATTTAGACTGTGATCGCAATCAGGCTTGCTTGAAAGCCGGGATTTGTTTAGGTTGTGGTCGTGATAAGTCAATTACAATGGTGCTGGCAGTAAGCATGATCATGTCCTCACGCAAAAAGAAGAAATGCCGTTTGGAGAAATGACTCATAATTGAAGTCTTCGCATTCTTTTTCAACTCCTTGTCAGTAATTTGGCGGCAGTCTTTTTGGATTGGCCCTTCAAAAACTTTATGTTAACCACTTGCCAGCGGGGTTTCCGGTGCCAGACACATATTCTTTATGCGTGTGGCCATGGTCTCGGAAATCGGACAAAGGGAACTGGGCCTTGTAACAAAAGACCGTACTCGTAACAAAAAAAACAGGCTGCTAGGCATTACTAACATTTTTTCACTCTCAATGGTGGAGATAATCCAGCCTTATTTTGAAACAGTATACCACGGTTTGGGGCATTTAGCAGCACAGCGATGAGCCACACAGTGCCACTGCATGCTAATCTGGCCCCTATTGAAAGAGGTAAGCAGCGCACTGCGCCAGGTTCTTGAACAAAAGAAAATTACGTAACACCGCACAATCTGGGCTCTTTTTACAAGACAGCAGGCCTGGTTGAAATACTCCAGCGTCAATAGATGTTGTCTGTCAGATTAGAGTTGAAACCAGACAATCCTTCGTGTGGGAGTAAGTGTCCAGTAAATGAAGACAGGAATTTTTTAAGAATTTTGAAAACGGAAAAAAATTATAATTATCCCACCCCAGCATCATCAACATTGATAACTGCCACCGGCGCGGAGTGGTTAAGTGGATGTAGTGGTGTGGGCATTTAGAGTTATAGGGGTATTTTTGTACATAAATGCCTATTCTTTTGGAGGTAATCAAGAATGTCTTCGAGATAAGTGGAGTTTCGAGTTATCCGACTACAAGTTATCAAGAGTTTACTGTACATGTATAATTATATTCATTTGTTAATTGTTTGATACCAGTAGCTGTGTGAAATTTGTGTCACACTGTGATTTCTTGTAGTGCTTTTGTATTGATGGCCAGCCACAGCCTGCAAAATCTGTCACTGTGACACAGCAAGAGACAGGTTCATTGGAAGATAACACACACCACCTTCACATCTGTGAGCCACTTCTACTCACATCATCTGTGCTATGGCCACCGCCACTCTCCCATCCAGAGGCTCTCCGGCAGACGGTACACGCTCTGGGGGCAGTGATGGCAGTGGCCTGCCTCTTAGTACCACGGGAACCTCCTGGGTGTCTGGAGTAGGCTGAATGGGCTCATTGGGGCTGGGCTCCTGCAGGGGTTCAGGGGTTGGCTCTGGCATAGGAGTTTCTGCCAGTAGCTCCTCGGGGGTTTCGGGTACTGGAAGCTGGGGCAGGCTGGCGGATATTTTACCTAGGATGTGAACAAGAAGAAACTGTTAAATACAGGAGACAAACTCATCACTTTCGAAAGACTTGCAGGTTTTGTCCAGTTCATGGCTTTTGATAGTTTAGCCTTTAATCTCAACTTCAGGCTGGTTTAATGTAGCATAATCTCACAAAGTCCTTCAAAAATTCTTACCGGATTTCGAACTAACTTGAAAGGTTGAGCTAAAGTACCTTTTATTTCCTTCACACTTGGTTTTTTACTGGTGGCTCCCTCTGATTCTGTCTCGGCCTCCATGACAGTCGGCAGCGAGACAGCCTCTTTGAGCTTCAGGTCCTCGTCTGTCAGATCGCAGGTCACAGCAGCGGCAGCAGCAGCAGCAGGCTGTGTTTTCTTCACAGGGGACTGCCGTTCACGTTTGGGTGACATTGTACTGAAGAAGACGTCATCAGTAAGGTCATCTGAGACCTGAGAGATTGAGAGGACAACACTTCAAAACCTGAAAAGAGATGTGAACTTCAATCTACATGTATTTGGCCCTCTGCAAGGGCAGATCCAGAACCAATTGGGGGAGGGAAGGTGGAGAATTGTTTGGATAGCAATAAATTTGGATTTTTTATGTGCATGCAGCTTTTTGTATGTTTTTTACATTGCCTTTCTCTCAATATTATTAGTTTTACAATTTTGTGTACTCTTACTTGACTCTTAATTTCCCAGGACTTGCCCTTGGCTTTCTGTTACTGAAAACTTGATTTCAGAGAAGTATTATTAATGGCAGATCATTTCCAATGAAATGCTGAAACATCCGGTGCAAATTTAACTAAAAAGAGGCCTTTGACGGATTAACAGCATGTCTTTGAAAATTGTGACAAATAACAGCTGGCTGTCATTACTTGTTTGTGTACTCTTTTGGAGGGGTCCGGGGTTGGAGGAAAAGGGAATAGTATACTCGTGAAAATGCTGACAACTATGGATGAACCCTGAACAGAAATCAAATTTTTATCTGACAGTTAAAATCCATGGTCAATGAGAAATTTTCTGCATCAGTCTCTGCAAGAGATGACTGCAACGACACAAACCAAAGGCTGGAGTTATATGTAAGTTTGACAAGGTCACAGGCAATGATTGTGAATTTGATACCGTTCAAATACAGCATAGTGTAACAATGTAACACGTACCACCCCTGGTGAAAAGAATGGCACTGTGTCCATCTCGTCTTCCTCTTCATAATCGCCGATGACCAAGCTTGCGGGTGCGAAGCTGCGGCTGTGAAGCAGTGGCGGCCGCTGCTGCACCAAGCAGTCCTGGCTCACACTCTGCTTGGGAGCTGTCTTGGGTTGCTAAAACGACGGGCAAGAAATGGTAACAGTGCCAGATCATTGGACTGATCACCCTCTGCGTACATATTTGTACAATATCCTACGGTTAAGAAACTTAAAATAAGAATAATCTACAATGTACATGTAGGTTTACATGTACTTTTCTGGCAAAACAATGAAAGTTTTCATGAGGAATTACAAGTCCATAAAAAAAACAGCTGTGAGTATTATTCATGTAAGCAGTAATGCTGGTAGTGCTTTCACAAACGCAGCACTGTCATTCCATTTCTTGTAAGCAACACGTAAGAAAGCTACCGCTTCATGTCATGTAATGTACATGCGCGTATGTGTCTTTTAATTGGTGGCCAGGCACAAAATTTGATTAGAACAGGAAATACAAGCTAATCCCCGCTAAAGGACAAAACAAAAACAAAATAGGTGACCAGCCACAATCATATGTGCGGGCACATTTCTTGACACTAATCTTTGTGAGATTTTCACTGCAGACACAAAAAGTGTTTAACAAAGTTTTCTGCTCAAAAGCTCAATGAAATAGCCTCCTCTCCATATTCTTTCGTCACCATCCTATAAAGCTGGTCGACGCTCATCACAAAGCAAACACGGATGTGACTCTGTGATGTCAGATCCGACATTTGCACAGCCAATTAGGAAATGTTGAACACACTTCAACTCGACAAAAGTTTCACTCGAACATTTCCATGATGTCAAAGCCATAGCAATCCAAGGAAGAAAGAACCCTCCAAGTTACCCTGACAGACTGCCTCAAGACCTCCCATCCCATCTTGGCTACTGACTGCCTCTTGCTACGCTGCCTGGTCAGCCGGTGTGACACCTGCTTTGTGAACACGCTGCTGCCTCCTGTGGCGCTGCTCATGGCCGAGTTCAGTGGCTGGCGAGCACCATCGGTTTCGTCCATCGCTGTCCTCATCCTAGGCCTCGCTGTGATTGACAACAGAATGCAGAAGCTGCTCATTTACTTAAAACATACGGGGTGAAGACCATTTATATTGTTTCCCTTTTCAAGGGGAGCTATTTGTGTGGGTTCATGAAGAGTGAAATAACAGTTGGACATGTGCCATTTTCTAACCACTTGGGGTATTTGTTGGACCAACAGGAGATGCAATTAGAGAAATATCCGAAGGAAATAAAAAGGTGAAGGCACTTTTCCCTCTTATATTTTGCTTATGAAATCTGAACGGCAAGAATTTGTTTTTATGGGACCTCGTTTTATAACAAGCCGATAATGGCAGAACAAAACTGATCGCAGTGCTACATTTTGTCAGACCACTTTGTTTTGCCTGAATTCATGTACTGAGCTTAATATCCTACTGAGATGATCTTAGATCCAACTTGACAAGATCTACATGTACAGTAAGTGGTGGAACATTCTGGTAACTCCAAAAATCTTTACCCAAAACCGTCTACGTTTACTAGTACGTATATGTAGGTACATGAATTTCTGCAAAGAAACCTTTCTGAGTCTTCCCAAATCCACAGTTTAATAAACAATTACTCAATGACACATTTTTGAATCTTAACTTTCAAGGGTATCAATACCCGCATACATGTAATAAAGTAATGAAGGCTGGGCCGGACTTTTCTAAATCCAGCAACATCATCCAAAAATTACTTGACAGACTTGAAAGGATCTGGGATAGTTTTGGGTGAAAGACACGGATCTCCGATTGAAAATCAAACAAGCTCAAGAATTATTTCTTTATGGATCCCTTTGGAGGTATACTGGTATGTCCATTGTTAACTGTACTGTTGGAGCTCCACTGCAGTACACTTTACAGTACCAACATGTGCAGTCTGCACTCCAAGAGACAGCAAAATCACAACAAATTTGTGATGAAAAAAACAGCCATTTGACTGGATTGCTGCTTTTCTACCACTACAGTTTCAATATTATCTCTGTACTTGGGGATATCGCCTAATCGGTGTCACATTATATCAGGACAAACAAAACCAAAGAGTCTGGGAAGGTTGTCTGTTCAAGTACTCAAGAGACTTGTGGGCAATATGCTTGAATCCATGAGTAACATTCAGACAGAATCAAGCAAAGATTTGAGCTAATTGCCAACAGATGCTGAAGTGAGCCCTGGCTCTTGAGATTAACTGAGCAGGGGGGATGATCAAACAAACACATGTCTGGGTATAGTTCAGCTTTCAGTATTCAGGAAGAACTTGTGCCTGTTAAAACCCCAAAATACATGTACATGTACGTGGGCGTACTGTACATACATGGGTGAAGCTTTTTCTCCCAGTCAGCCTGTTTGTCCTCTGAAAGCCTGGCTTCAGATGAAGATTCTATTTTAATGCTATCTGACAATCAGTCATGAAGAATGGAAAAAACAACACACTAAAAGTAAAAACAATAGGAGGGGACTTGTTTGTGCACCCTTTTGGATCTGCCCCCTCGTCTACTTACCCAGAGGGTCAATGATGTGAGGCAAGGGTGTCATGTTGCCCATGGCCATGACCTCTCGGTCCATCAGGTCATCCTCCACATGAGGCTTGACCCCGCCATGCCGCCGGCTCAGGTGCCGCGAGCGCCGCGACTGCCAGCGCCGCTGGTCCTCGTTGGCATTGTCGCCGATGCCGAAGAAGTTTGCTGTCACACTCTTGACCCGACTGCAACAAGAGAAACACATGAATTACAGAAGTCTCATCCCATGATGTGACTACTTCACACTTGTAGCCTGCACATACTATACATGTACATGTACACACTATGTTCACAAAAACGTGATCCACAGAGGGCACAATTTATAGGAGGACTGGACCTGTGACCCAGATCCTGTATTGTAGTAACAGGTCAAGAATCAACTTGAAATCCGAAGAAATTGATACTTGAAGACAAAACATAATCCCAATACGGAATAGAAAACAACACAGAATCCATTAAAATTGACATTCCCAGAAATGTGTAGGCCAAACTGATACTTTTGAAGAAGGGGAATAAAGGATGGGAAATAAAAAAAGCACAAAAGATCTTGGAACCAAGAATACACAGAAATACCACTGAGGCTCCCTTTTAAATGGGCAGTCCACAAACCTAAATGTATGAGTACACGTACTAGTACAATGTACTACAATACTGACACCACTCTTCGAAATCTTCACTTGTTACATGTAGGCCTACATTCTACGAAAGACTTCAGCACTGTCTGCATGTTCACTGGAGAGCTAGTCTTGTGCTCACCTGTACATGTAAAATGCACTTGTAAAACAATTTTGAATATGTACATGTACATGTACGTTTATATGAAAACTACATGTACATGTACAATAATAGCTTCACTCATATAAATATTACTTAAAAAAGACAATTCATGCATTTTGCACTCCAATACAATCATAGAATATGGGCACAAAGTGACCCTTGTTTATAGATCAATTAATTTAATTATGAGTATGTGGTACATGTACATTTGTGAAGTTTCAATTTAATCCAACACAGGATTTGGTTTATTTAGTCATCTTTAATTCATAGCATTATGCACTGGTAAATGGGAGATGTACATGTACATGTATGTCCAATTTTCCTAAAACTGCTGTCACATCGATAGCAAGGCATTACTGTAAACTGCAAAAGGCTTTGCACAAACAAATAATGCATGCATCGACACTGAAGAAAACATAAAGGGGGAGGGGTGAATTCTGCCCCTCAACTCTTTTATTGCTGTGAAAACTTACATGTACCGTATTGACTCAGAAACAGAACAGCCCAATCTAAACACAGCCTACAAATGTATCTGAATCATGCAAATTACATGTAGCACACATGTACTTGTCCATGTGGGTGCGCTTGTACACCCTTACATGTATACTTGTAGGGTATTTCCTTTGTTCTTGTGTACAAAACTCCCACACAACATGGAAAAAATTTTAAATCACTGCCATTTCAACCAAATTCAGTTTCCTGGGTTGAAATTCCGACTGTATGTCCCTTACATAAAACATTTCAATTTGCGACGATGAATGGCACTTGAAAATTCCTCCTTTTTGAGTAAATTTGAAATATCTATTTCATGCCACAATGCACCATGTGTGTACTTGCATGTGCATGGAAAAAAAACCCTGACTCCCTACCACACAACAAATCAAGGAATTACAAACTGGAACACTTTTTCCCATCGCCCCTGATCAAAACTGTTTCCATAGCACCCGATCAAAGGCGACATGCCCCTTTAATGCAGCACTGTAGTCGGTCCTATTAGCCCTTTCTCCTTGATTGGATGTGGGGGTCTAACGTAACTATGATTGAGTGAGTAGCAATAATAAGAGTATGAATGGAAAATCTGTAGGGGCAAGGGATAAAAGTGTTGACTAGTGTTATTTGCTGCACAGACAGCTGAATTTGATATCCTCTATATTCTCACATAAAAAGAAAAACCCACTCTGGGAAGTCATGAATTCAGCATGGAGAATTCACTTCCATCTTATCATATTACAGTTTAATGCTGTGCTCTGGTGTTCAGTATTCAAGAGGTATGGTACACGTATGTACAGCTGATTGTCCATGCCAATTTCACCGGAATCTTTTGACCTACCGGTACATACATATAACTACCCACCATGTAGCATTTCATTAATATTTTTAATAAGAAGTGTACATGTACATGTAGTTTCCAAACCTTGTTTGTTAAGAAACAAGTTGAAAGCAAGGGGGCATTAAAAGAAATAGGAATATAGTGGTAAAACTCCATCCGAAAGAACAGAACTGACACTGGTACTCCAGTTCCCTTAGCCCATGGGTTTTTCTTAGACCTGGAGAGCAAACAGCACTGGTCAAAGGGAAGACCTACAACCTCTGGCTGCTGTTTGGCACAAAATTTTATGGACGTCATCACCAGACATAAATTCCATGCACGTTCTTCTTCGTGTACCCTCACATTCGTGTGGACCCCTACGGCTGACTCTCACATTGGTGTCTGTATCCAAGTGTCACATTTCACAGAGCATGGAAATTGGTTGGGATTCCATCCTGCCCTGTGGGATGGCCGCTCAACAAATAACCTGTCCTACAGTTCACAGAACACTCCTGCACTGACTGATACCGAAAATATCTCACAATCCACAGCCTGCAGCTACATACATGTACCATACAGGCACTAAACATGGAGCTGTTACATGCCTCCAAAGTCATGTCATTCCCATGAGTTCTCCTGTCTGTTTGAATGTCACCACTGAAGCACCTTAAAACCAAAACATGAAACCACAAGCAATCTCAAGTTTTTTTGAGCTAAATGAAACAGGAACAAAAAAGGAAAAACAAAGAGAGAGATAACCTCCCCACAGGCCCACCAGTCTGTCAGCATCTGAAATGACCTGCTGTCTGGTTTCTTACCCGTTATCAATCAATAAAACCACGGTGGTACACTAGGTGCACAAGGCTGGCAACACTGCACAGCAATTGTGACCTTTGCTAGTACTGCACTGTAGAGGGAAGGAAATTGTTTGCAAAATTTATGACAATAAGACACTTCAAGCACATGTACGAACTTTGTGGTTGACGGGTACTTTTCAGATCCATCAACAGTCATGTTTCTGTCTTACTTCTTGATCTCAAGGGACCCAAGGCAAACCTTACCCAGTAACTCATAATCGAGGGTGAGATTCAAGGGAAATTAAAAATCAATGAGAAGTCATGAGAAGTTTTGAGTAGGGTCTGGTGTACATGTTGTGTTGCCCCAAAGGCGCCCTTTGATGTACTATTTCTTGTGTTCTTTATCAACTTTTACATGTTCATGTATATGTAAACAGTACAAAGTGGTAAACTGTGGATATTCGAGATTTCAAAAACATTGTTTGAAAAGTCCTGAAATCAAGAAAAATCCTGACATATCTCATACCTGCATAATTTATGGTTAATATTCAAGGAGCTGTTGCTGAAGTATATGTAAAAAAAAATCCTCTTAAAAAAATCGTTTTTGAAGAAATTTAAAGAAAACCCAATACAAATGCATAAACAGAAAAGAAACCTGTACATGACCTTAATACATGATACACATAAAAATCATTTCACAATTTCACAACAAAATACATGATAAACAAATACTGGTACATGTACACACATACAAATACCCTGGTACAGTGTAAATTTAATTGTATTTACACATATATTTGTACATGTACACATGTACTCTACACTCCTTGAAAAAAGATACTGATTATTATGAATACAGCCACTGTATTAAATGCAAAATTCCACAAGTTTGCATTCAATCTGGGATGGCTAGAAATAGTATATATCAGTAACAAACTGTGACACATGTAGAGTGTTGTACATCATACAAATTATACATACCGGTACATGTATGCCAGTACATACATGTACATTAACAAAACATTTTTTTCTATAAATGTGTACGAGGTCTCAAACACTGCACAGTTGCACACATTAACCGCCACATTTCTATGGACCATCCCCCAAGAGAAACCCAAGCTCAGGATTTTAATACATCCCTATGAATCAATGAACCCCCGAGTCGCTGAGTCGTGAAATAATGGCAGTCAACCCCGGAGGAAATAATTGGCTTGCAAAGGGAGGGGAGGGGGGAGAGAGAGAACACAGAAATGAGATGGGCAATGACAGAGAGGAGGCAGAGGAAGAGAGTGAGGAGAAGATTAACTTAAGAACTGCTGATGGAGGCAATGTAGGAAATGCGTTTAACATGTGGATATGATTGCTTTGGGCAAATCCCATTACAATGTACCCATCTATCACGCCTGGAAACCACCTTCATGTTCTCAGTCTCGATTAAAATCTAAATTACAGCGCTGCCTCATGTACACGTACTGTAGCCAATATGTGAGAAGTTTGTGTAGTGAAAGCATTATCAATTAATTCAGTCATCTGTGATTTGATTGTGGGACGGAGAGGAAAAGCATTTTTCTGCCCCGGGTATTTCTTAATACAACTGAACATGTACATACATGTACCATTGGTGAGTGTATGTACATGTATTTATGTGTGGCTACTGACAGGAAAAGTGATTACATCTATACCAGTAGGGGATGTGGCTACATTACAACTGGTACAAACATTGAAAACACGATGATAATTAAGGTGGCAATGTTGGTGAGATGATTAATACTGACAACAGTGACAGTGCATGATTATAGCAAACTCGATGACAACAATCACAACAGGCAGAGTATACATTAACTGTAATAAAGAACATAGTCTGATCTACATGTATTATGACACCAGATAATCACGCCGATGGGAATGAGTTTCTGAACGTTCATGGGTTTCTTTCATGTACACTGTACAGGTACATGTATCAGTACCCATACACTGTACATGTACATGTACAGTACATGCACTATACATGTATTGCAGTAATTCTTAACTACTCATAACACAATCTACATGTACATGTAATCAACACCGCAAATGCCACATCCAGGTCAAGCCAAGAGAATAAAAAGCTGCAACACATTTACAGGAAATGTACATTTTGTACTGGTACAGTACACATGCACTGTATGTCCCATGTACATGCATGTCCGGCCGCTGTGAATGTGTGCATGTAACATGTACCATGTAACATGTGCCGGTAGGAAAGCGTCCAACATCTGAAATCCATGCCACTTGTACCCCGATTTCCGTGTACTGTGTTCCA